AACCCGTATTAGGTGCTGCATTGACAACTTCCGTGCTTTGGTTGCTAGTGGTTCTTATGGAAGCCGCCAACGTCTTTGCAAACTCTCACTACTTAATCTCCAAGCAGTAGTGAAAATATAAGAAAAATACATTGGATTTAGTTCTAAGGCACAATGTTTACTTTGAAGAATGAGTTGCAAGCCAGAAACACTTCAAATTTTTCACAACTGTTCAGTGCTTCATTAGCAAGTGTTTGCATACAAGTTGCCATCTTCCATGCAAACTATGGGCAACTGCAGCAATCTGTTAGTGAACAAAAGAATTATATGCAAGTTTTTGGTGCAGCAACCTCTTTCAGTGACAGCTGCAAACCATTCGTCAACTTGGTTGGGCAAAATATTTTTGTAGAAAAAGAGGCTGCCAGGAGATGGCCAACCTCTAGATCCTTGTGAATGTCATTCTACTGAATTAAATCAGACTCTACAGAACTCAGCTGCCAGACTTTCAGCTAGAACGAGGAGACAAGATCACATTTCTCTTACCTTTTTACACAATGTTTAGCATTGAATTTAAGATTTTACTGATTTCTGTTAAAGTCTTTCATAGCTTTGCTCCAAGCTACATTTCTGACCTCTTAGTAATTACCATATGCACCAGAGGTCTTTTGCCTGTTCCAGGGGCCCAACTGAAAACTCAAAGGGACAAATCTGAAACAACCTGTCTGGCAAAATCAAGTCAAGTCAAGTTGGCTTTATTGTCACTTCAACCATATACAGTTTAACAGTACACAGTGAGGCGAAACAACATTCCTCCAGGAACCAAGGTGCTACATGCAACATAAATTTACAACATAATTTAACAGAAAAACTCTAAACTAGCTAACTAAGAGGCCTAGTTAGCTGGCTAGCAGAGACAAGACAGACTGACCTAACATAAATTACAACATAAATTAACAAAAAACTAACTATCTAAGGATGACTTTTTTTTGTTATCAGACAGCAGACAACAAAGTGCACGTGCAAATGTGCAAACAAGAGCAGCAAGTGACAGTGTGACAAAAAAAACCCACAACGTAACATAATAATAAGGTTTTGTGATGATGAGTTGAGGTAGTGGAGGAACAGTAAACATTCCTTAGTGTAGCAGCAAAAATTAGGAAGTGCAGAAGGAAGTGCAGAAGTTAGTGCAAAAAGTCCAGTAATAATATTGTGCAAAAGAGCATTTACAGGTTGGTGTGTACGATGGTTTGGTGGTGTAGGTCAGTGTGTTTGCGCTTGTGTTGATTAGTCAGTCCAGTCTCAATGTTTTGAGGTAGTTGAGTTAAGCTGTGTGTGTGTGTGTGTGTGAGAGAGTCAGTCATTTCCTTGAAATCATCTTTTAAAAAATACTTTGATGAGAAAGCTTTTCCCTCCCCTTAAATTTACTTTAAAGTGTCTTTTTTTCCCCCCTCTATTTGTTAATTCTGTTTTATTCTGTTGCTCCTGTGAAGCACGTTGTAATGTGGAGCTTGAACAATGTTATATAAATAAAGTCATAATTATGGTTATTATTAATACAGTAACAATAGTAAGTGATCCTGAAAAGTTTAGCAAACTTTTTGAAAAAAAAACACCTCAGTCTTTAACCTGTAATCACACGCTCATTATGTTGCTGTAATTGCAACCCACGCTTTGAGCGGTTGGCTCAGAGGGGGACTTAACCATACGATTAGTCACAGTCTGCATGCAAGTAGCTCGTCATCAGTCAGCTGGACAGTCACAAAATTAGTCGCTTATTCTGCAAATATTTAATTCCAGGGGACTTTTGGAAATTTAGTCACAATAAAAATAATAATAATAAAATAAACTCGAGCTACCAGCTTATTGTTGTATACCTCTGCAAACCAGCTCAGCTAAATATTTTGTGAAGGTGACTTTTTGACCAATTAATGTTTATACAAATTCCTGACATGTCACATTCGTGAGGATGTAAACACACAGAATTCCTTCAGCCACACACTGGGGGTGAAAAGAGAGAGAGAGAGAAGTGAAGGGAACTGATTTAACAATTACTCCATGAAGGCTCTGTAATTGTCGAGGTTGCCAGTTTAAGAGCTACGGACAGATGGACAACCCTAGAACATAATGGCTTCGGTCATGACTGTCACCAGTGAGGGTCATAAAAATAAATGTGTCACATCACTTTTAAATGACTTTGTATTTCAATTTCAACTTTAGTAAACAAACTGTTGTGTAATCCATCCATCACTCTCACACGTCACATCAGAATCTCAGGAGATGGACGTGTTTTGAAAAGATGCTTCATTTTTATGTCATGAGGCTGCGTAATGAATTGAACAGTCTGCTCATAGACGGGATTAGATTGGGTGATACTGCACTGTTGCACCTACCACACTGAGAACTCTGTGTTCTTATATTAAGTTTTTGTTTGTTGTTGTGGCTTTTTTTTTTTTTTTTTTTTTTTTGGGGGGGGCGGTTTGTGTGTGACCTTTCTTTGGGTCTTAACCCAGTGCTGGAAAAACAGCTGTGCAGAATCACACCAACAGAGGAGGGAGTATTGCTTTGGCAGACTGGCATCATATCAGCATACTGATGACGCCGCCTAACAAAGAGCGCTCTCATATCTATTCATTTATTCATCGTCCCTCTTTATCTCTTGTCTCATTCTCTCTTTCTGCCTCATGTTCTCCCTCCAAATAAAATATTAGATTCAATAAGTGACTACCCAGCAGAGGTACCAGTATTGGGCTCTGCTTCGCTCATTCTTTACGCTCTGAGGCAGCTGTGCAGTTGCTATCTACCCCAAGTGAAAGCGTAAATCAAACAAAAATAACTGAGATGTCAAACGGCAGCTGTAATTTACTCCGAGTGCCATCAATTGAGACATATTCCCCATTTTTATATTCAGATATTGAAAATCCTTTGGTACCAGATGTCATTTATATTGGGTCTAATTTTGTTTTTCTTTCTTATGCTAGTCAAATACAGGCGTAACTCCATTAACAGCTGTATCCCATTAATGCTAATTGTTAACTGAGGCGATACTGCTATGACAAGTTCATTTGCATTTCTTGTATAATGAGAAGTGCCAATTTAAGGCTTATGTCCTATTTTAACAGTGAGTTTGTTCTTCAGCACTACCTTAAAAACTGTCACTGTTATTGTCACTTTGGATGAAAATGGGAAATACAGTTCAGCACACCAAAGCATCGGTGTGGCAACTTTTCCACCCTGTACGATGAAAACTGAGCAAAGAAAGTGCACATTTGTGCCTTCAGCAAATGTAAGAAGAGCTAAATGAAACGAATAAACTGATTGCCTAAGTAATAAACACAGAACGCATAGGAAATGCCCCCTGAACCACCTTTTCTTATGTTGTAGATGCATAAACACTACAAATTCTCATTTTGGCTTGTTGGTTGGTGGTTGCTGGGAAACATGACATCATAATAAATTGTGCGCAATTCAGGTTTACATGGATGTAAATTAATGTTATTTTTATGAAATAAAACAATATTAGGCTTTTCATAGGTCTTGGAGCTAGATAAATGCTACAAATGGGTCATTTTAGTCCATTTCTAGTTGGTTGCTAGGCAATGTTAAGCCATCATAAAATGTCACACATTATTTAAGTATATCTGGATATAATTTAGATGTTATGTGCATAAACAGTATGAATGGGTCATTTAAGCTTGCTGGTAGGTGGTTGCTAGGCAATGTAATGATGTGAAAACCTTCAGGGTCCCAAGATGTACCTGTGTGCCAACTCTGGTTGCACAACTGCTGATCATTTAGGAAGAGTTTGGAAACAAATGAACAGAGCTTTTGTGTATTATACTGGATTTTGTGTTGTTTGTATATTGAAGAAGACTTAAAACTTTATTAAATACGTTGTTGTCTTACTAACGCTAATGTGTTTTCCCAAGTTTGTTTGCTGTTGATTTGTTTAGGTTTCTTTAGTCTCTTGAGAGTTTGCAAAAGAAGAGGGCAGTAAAAATGACTGGTGCAGCCTCTGCAGCCACTTGTTGATCCCACAACACGTGGCTGCAGGTGATGACACATAATGATTCACTGTTCTTGTGAAGATGATAATTTCCAAATTTGATGCAGGTCAGTGAAGCAGCAAATTCTCTTTGAGTATTCCAAATTAGTCCTTTTATCTCCTCCTGGTGAAGTATTTTGTATTTTCAGGTTTTCTTTCGAAATGGGAATATTTTCCTCAGATCTGAATATTAACATAAATTCTGATACATGGCCTGTGATGTACGAGCCACCTGTCCGGGTGGTATCCTGCCTCTCACTGAATGACATCTGAAATGGGCCCAAAACCCCCGTGACTCCGAATTGGATTAGTTATTAAGGAAATGGATGGATAGACAGATGGATGGACTTGTGCCGGAGTCGGCTCTGAGTATTTTGTACACAAACAGGCCAGCACTTTACAAGACAGGGACAAAGATGCATCCCCGGGGAAGAGCTTACATTTCTAGTGGGAAGGAAAAATGCACCTGCTCTTAAAAGTAATGAAGGAAGTAGATATAAGCAGGTTTTTGGATATGTGCAAATATCACAACACCTACCGACCTTTTCAAGAATGTGGTAGAAGGAATGAAAGGGGGAAGCTGTGTTTGCACAGTCAAATAAATTTGCCACCAGTGGAAAATTGTATTTGGATAGTAAACACAGCTGCATCTGAATGTGAATATTGATGGTATAGTTTACCTCATTTGTCTTGTAAACAGCTCAGTAAAATATTTTGTACAGGGAAACGTCACTTCTTCAGGGGAAAGCCCTTCAATCTGCTCCTTTGAAATTCTGGCTGAAAGGAAAAGTGTGAGAGAGAATCAAATACTAACCGGATGCCAAATGTTGTTAATTGTGATTAATTTCATCCTAAAATGCTACTTTTGGCATCATGCCAGCACAACATAGTTAGTTACTTATTGACTCTCTCTGTCTCTCCTGTGTTTTAAAACCACTTTCCTTTTCCTTCTTACCTTTAATATTGTCCTCTTTGTCAGTTTAAGTGTTGTGGAGGTGAAGAATTTAAAGACTGGAAAGTCAACATGTACCACAACTGTAGTGCGCCTGGTCCGTTAGCCTGCGGTGTCCCATATACCTGCTGTGTTACTACTAAGGTAGGTGTCATTATTGATGGTCTTACCACTACATCGGCTAGTACAATATATGCTTTTCTTGTTGCAATAATACCTCTTGTATTACCAGTTTCTATGCATGATGCTAACTGCTTCTGCCTCTTCTGATAATACTGCTATAGCACAATTTATGTTCAGCTACTACATTTAAAACATTTTTATTATTATTATAATTACAAGTACATATTTTACATGGTATATAACATTTAAATTATGTTTTTTTTTAGAAACTACTTGTGGGTAGACTTTTACATCCATCATGGGCATGAATGTCATGGAAATTTAGGGCATTTAATGGTTTCTTTGAACAGCTTTTGTTTTTAATGACCGGGTGGGGGGGGGGAACAAGAATTGGGTGCACAAGTTTGAATTTGAACTTATATTGCACTGACTACAACCAGTAGTTTTTCTTTTATCAGCATTAAAAAGATTTGTTTGACAGCACTCATCAGATTGACCAATATTCAGAACAAGGGAAATCCAAGGAATTCAGCAAAAATCTAAAGTGGAGACTAGTAGATTTGAACAAGTTGGAAAAGTCGCTTGGAGCCATTTCTAAACAACTGCAGATCATCAGTTCATCAGTTCAGACGGGTCTATGTAAGCACAATTTATCTGGAAGAATGCCAAAACTGTCATCATCACATAAGAAGAAATTGGTTGTAGGATGTTCAGAATAAACCGAGGCTCAAATCTGCTGTGAACTGGAAGCCATATGCCTTTTGGAGAAAGGTTTTATGGTCAAAGACTGAGCTTTTTGACTATAGTGACAGCTTGAGGTTTTCAAACTTTCAACTGTCAAGCACGATGGTGTCATGCTCTGGGGCTGCTTTGCTGCCTGTGGTACATTACATCACACAGAGTAGATGGAATAATGATCGATGAGTACCTCCAAATTCTTCAGCTTCATCTCAAATCAACAGCTAGACACTTAAAACCAAGACACAGATGGGTGTTCCAGCAGGACAATAACCCCAAACACTCATCAAGACTGATTTGTGGTTTGAAATGTTGACCAGTTTAATATATGTGTGGATTTGAGAAAATCCTAAAATACATTCAAACTTGTAAACCAAATGTTAAAAGACCAAAATGACACTGGCATTTATCATCTTAAACTGTATCTCATGCTGACCTATTTTTAATGGGGTCCAGTTATAAAAACATATGAAGCTAGAATACATTAAGTCCCCTGTAAAAGAGGATTGCACATATTTAACACACCTGTCTCTTCACTGGAGTTGATGAACACTTCATGCTAAGAGGTTTTTAAAAACAATTGTGTAGATGTTTTGTGGCTGCAGTGGGAATGAACAAAGTCTGATTAGTTAAAGCTAAAGATTCCAGGTTTGCTGTTGGGTGATATTCACGTGAAAATACGTGAATAAATGGCTTAATGGCTAAAGTGTGGCGTGAATTTATCTTGATACATCCTCATCTGTCTCATGAGAGGGTTTTTGATCTGCAGTTGTGCTGAGGAGAACTCCCAAAATCCCACGCAGCTTCACTTCTGAGAGACAAATTACACACTGTGAGATGCTGGCATTTTATTTGCTCAGGAAGGCACCTTCTCACTGAGGGCATGCAGTCTCACAATCACAGTGGGAGCTGAAGATCAGAGTTAGATACCAACTAATCTGTAATTTTATCATGTTTGTTCCTGAATTTGTTTTTTTAGTTTTGGATTTGTGTGTGTGTGTGTGTGTCATTAAAGCTCTCAGACACACAGGCCTAAAGATCTGTCGGCGACACCTTCCTCAACCCTCAGCCCCAAGCAACTGCTAAACAACTGAACTTCTGATTTTCATCTGCAAAGTGGTTGGCATTAAGGAATGCACATTTTTCTCTAGTGCTCGGTGGCTGCCAGTGTCTGTGTGTCTGGGTCTTAAAGTAATAGCTCTTGCATGCAGAGTGACATTTAAAATGCACCTCTTCACCCTATATTGTGATTAAGCCTTAGCCATGGCATGTGCAGGCAATTTTCTCCACCTCTAAGTAGCAAAGGCTCCCTGTAATCTGTACACCTACACTGTCCAGTAATTATAAGGACAAAGAGAACAAAGAGAAAGTCTCGAGCTAAACACACAACAGTTTGACGAACTGTCTGAACTAATGAAACTGATCTCATCCGACATTCTCTAAAATTTAATTTTATTTAAAGGTTTCTTTGTTGGGTCAAACTTTTTGTTAGATGTTTAGATCTATCTTTCGTTCGTTAGTTCGTTCTTTCTTTCTTTGACTAGCAGCATTTTTATGTGGCATAAAAATGGTCTTGACAAACTGTTTGGCAGAGAGAAAATAGCAAAACGATCCCTACCTGCCAGAGATGACTCACATAAGTGGCAACGGATGCTGTAGAGCAGAGCATATATGCCCTTAATGCAGACTTATCTTTGCGAACAAACATGGATATAATGATTTAGAGGTTTATTTTTAATTCCACTTAATTTTAGTTTTAATACAACAAGATGCAGGCTGCAGGTGACTCTGTTCTGAAGATAAAACCGTTAGATTAGATAAAAGCTTTTATTCTCCTGGCTGTCCCCACACTGTACAGCTTTCTGTTAATTTTCATTTGAAACATTTTACTTCTCTTTCAGAATAATGAAGTGCCCAACACTATGTGTGGGTACAAGGCCCTAGATGACAAGGTAAGACCACCAAGTCATAAAACACTTTATTATGTGCTGAAATATCCATTGTGACTATTGTGTGCTTTATATCCACAGAAGGTTCATTTAAACTGGGAATTGCAGACAGAAAACTGGCAGTTGCTGTCCTTTTTATCTCATTGACAGCTGAATGTTTCTTAGCAATAACTCTGGGTGTGCTGTGTCGCTCTCACACAACTGAGGACAAGTGTCAGATAATTAAGTAATGGACTGGTCTTATTATAAGCAAGGAACAGAAAGTTAAACAGTTGGAAGAAAGGAAAGGGAACTGCCTTTGACTTTTTGTAGTTTTTAAATTGGACTAACCACCAGTGTTCTGTGTCCCACAGCATCAACCACTGCCTGACATCTATACCAGAGGCTGCACCGGTGCATTCATTTACTGGCTGCTGGACAATTATAAGATTATGATCATACTTCTGTTTTTGATCCTAGTGCCTCAGGTATACACACACACACACACACATACACACACATTTGTACAGTGAGATAGTGATACAGATGCTTTACCTTTCTACTCATTTTTTACAGGTTAGCTTTTCCCATTATCTGTGGCCTTTTCTTCTCCTAATATGTTTGTATAGGCGTGTTCATGCAGAAATGAATGAAAGACCATGTGCTTGACTCTGTTTGCATGTGCAAATATTTACACTCATTTTTAATGTGTTTTATCCCAACTGTGACTCACTTTGTAACTGTGTGTTTTTAAAAAGTTCGAAACAAATACAGTTATTATTGCGGTGACGGGAAAGCTGTCGATGGTGGGTACAAACAACAGCAATTAACTTCTTCAAAAGGGTGTCTGAATAAAAGTGCGACGCTCTGTTGGGGAGGGGCACAGAGTAGAGGCATACATCTTTCAATTGTTGCCCATGGGACAGAAAATGGATTTAAAAAGATGCGCTGAAAAAGCCTTTTAGAAGCACAGTTTAACATAAAACATTAGCTGCAAAAAACAGGCTGGTTTAGTATGATTTACCTGAGACAAGGATGACTAAGTTATATTTTAATGTGTAGCGCTATATATGAGGAGTTATTTATGTCACTTTGTAGCTAAATGAGTTTTATTTTCATTATTGGTATTTATTCCCACCATGGATGTTTATGGAACAATTACCATTTAATTTTACTTTACCTTTTTAACAATTAAATCTTTAAACTCAATACAAAAGTATAGACAGATGTACAGATGGGCAAATAGATAAATAATGTAATAAAAGTCTCAACAGAAAGCCTGTTTAAACAAAACAAATGTAGACTAAAAAGACTGTCTCATTGGCCTTTATTCATGTACGAGGAACAACTAAAAAATTCTGAGCTTGTAAATGGAGATAGTCAGCAGCAGTGTCTTTTGTAACAAGATGAGATAAATAATATGGAGCATGGCCACTTAGCACTCTGTGTGTAAATACAAGAATTTTAAACAAATGCTAAAATCTCTTGGGAGCTAATTTATTGAGTATAAGGTGGGAGTGTTGTGAGCTTGATTTCTAGAAGATGTTGTTAAATATCAACACGTTAATAGTCTGGATGCAGTATTTTGTACAGCTTGGAGAGATTATCTGTCAAAACCGGTAAACAGGGTATTACAATAATCTAAGCACAAATGCGGGAATTGTTGTTTTTTTGTGGGGGGGTTTTTGTTTTTGTTTTTTTTGTTTTTTTGGTTCAGCTGCGCAGACCAGAGAAGAATTTAATATTGTACCGAGATTTCAAACACTGAACTTTACATTTGAAACAAAAGAAGCAAGAGCCGGACTGATTTTAGGATATAGTTCAGGTGCTATAATTATTGCTTCAGTAAAGATGGCATTTAATACAAGGCAACTGCTAGAGAGCTAAACCCAGTTAAACAGTGGGTCCAGCTGGTGAAGCTTAAAAGACATATATGGTTGAATGTCATCACCATAGAAATGATAAGAAATGTCATTAAAATACTAAATGATGCCAGCTGAAGCATGTAGAAAGAAAATAATGCTGGACCCAGGACTGAATCTTGTGGAACCACACAGGTTAGGGAGATAATGTTAGAGGTGGCCAAACAGAGAGATTTCATGCAAGGTTGTACAGTTTTTCAGTTGACCTTTTTGTGATAGGTGTGGCTGCAGTGATGTGTCATTTGTACTTCAGATTTTGAGAACGCAAACTTGTATTTGCTTCTGTATTTACCAAAACAGCTTGCAGAGACTTATAGAGTGTACCTTTTAGAGCTCAGTGGAATAATAATAATAATAATGGATTGGATTTATATAGCGCTTTTCAAGGCACCCAAAGCGCTTTACAATACCACTATTCATTCACACACTGGTGGAGGCAGCTACAGTTGTAGCCACAGCTGCCCTGGGGCAGACTGACAGAAGCGAGGCTGCTATATCGCGCCATCGGCCCCTCTGGCCAACACCAGTAGGCAAGTAGGGTAAAGTGTCTTGCCCAAGGACACAACAACCAGGACAGAGAGCCCAGGGATCGAACCGGCGACCTTCTGGTTACAGATGCGATTCCCAACCCCCTGAGCCACGGTCGCCCCGAATAAATCATCCAAAACCCAGATTAGCAAATGGAATAAAATGGAAATTGCTTCACCCCTTAGGCACATCTGACAGCTCCACAGCCTTAGGAGAGATAAAATCAGCTGTGCAGTTACTTGCTGGTCCAATTTATTTAGATTTGCTTGGACCAAACAGGCCATAATAAAAACACAAAAATTAACTTTTATTTTAAAATATTCTGTCTGAACTTAAAATGGACCAAAGATTTTCTTTTTAAATCAGACTTTTGTTCTTTTCCAGCATTAAAAGAACAAATGCACACTATTCATTCACTCTGCACACCTTATACTCCTTCATCCTTCCCTTTTCTTGAACCAGATTCATTTGGTAGTGTGGATGTAACAGCACAGATGCTGTTTTTCATTACTTTGCCATTTCTACCCTCATAAATCCCATTTTCAATCATACATTTAATAATCCACACACTCTGGCAGCTATGAATATATGAATGTAGGCTGTGCTGGACTTTAATAAGCATGTTGAACTTCACTGAGCTGTGCAGAAGGTGTCAGTCGTCTGGTTCATTACACAGGTGCTTCTCTTTTGCTCTTTGTCACACATCCTGATTTCTCAGGTGATGCCCAACATTTAATCTGGTGTCCCACTCTGTCAGATATTTGAGGTTACTTACGAATGTTTAGTTCCAAGTGGAAAATTTCATCTAACTCAACAGAAATCTCTATATAGCAGGACAAGTCATTTTCATCTCAGCTTCCAGTTTAGATTCCAATTGTGTGTATTTCTGGACGTGTGGTTAGTGTAGGTCTAATTAATAAAAAATAATAAAATAAATATTAAGCAAGTTTTATTCAAGACATATTAAAATGGAAAAAAAAAATACACAAAGTGTATTTTTTGGCTGTGAACAATCCAAAAATGTGTATGTGATTAAAAGTACCTTTGTTCCTCTCATTTCTATGATTCACTGAGATTATTCTGACAAATTTCACAATCATGAAAAAGCAAATGGAACGAATACCAGCTCTAAATATAAATAAATAGATTAAAGTATTGCTGATATGTGTGCTTTTGTTATCTGAGATGTGAGCTTAATTTCTGGGATGCGTTTGCAGAGTAAGTAGAAAAGATTTTTTTGGTGAAGGCTGTGCAGATACTTGTCAGCTATTCCTCAAAACTGCATTAGGCACAAACTTAAACGAGTCAAAAAGAAAAGTCAGAAATGAAAATTAGAAAGCCCTTCCTCTTCTTCTTGCGTAATCTTTTTCTAAGTCATTACCATAAGACAAGCACAGATATTATACATAAAAGCCTTTTAGAGGGTTTATCTCTTGCATGGACTTTCTTGGCATTCACAGACCTGTATTTAATAATTAGCTGATTTCTTTCAGGCCTGAAAAACAAAAAACAAAGCTGGGAGGAGGTACAGGTGTCTAGTTTGCTAGTTCTCGTTTGGGAAACAGAAGCAGAGAGATTTCGCACTCAATTTCGTTGTGTGGACAGATGTGGCAGTAGTAGTCGCGTGCCCTTATTGCAGACTGTATCTCTGTATCTCTGCAAAGACAAACTCAGAAGCATACAAAGCAGCCTGATGTTGCTTCAGGTGATCTTTCAAAGGATGTCCAGTTTATCTAAACACACATTTCCTTTGTTCCTTCCGCCTCACATCTCTTCTTTTAATCTCTTTCTCATATCTTACATTAGGGAGGCTTAGATACAAGGTAAAGACACAAATGAGACTGATGAGAAGCAGCCACAGTCACCTTTCTTCCACCATGCTTATTAAGATTCTCTCTCTCTCATTCCCTCTGTCTAGTTCTTCGGTGTGCTAGTCACCCGGATATATATCACTCGTGTTGAAGACATAAGTGATCAGTATGCTGAACCCACCGAAGATGCACGACGTCAGAAAGGTCACTTGGACAAATGGTTCAAATGTATGCCAGAATGGGACTGACAGAAAACTGCAAGTAGCGAAGAGATCTGATATTCAATTGTGCTTTTTTTTTTCTTTTTCTTTTTTTCAGCGTCCACTGTTTTACTTACTTTTAACAACTTTGTTGAAATACAGTGTACTAATGGTGGAAAATACTCGTTTAGATATGAGCTTTTAACTGCAATGTGCCTAACATGGTCTCAGGGATAAAGACAAAATACAAAACAACCACTTTTGTTTCTTTCTTTTATGTGAAATGAGTCTTTTCCAGTGCAACACACAATCACAGTTTGTGGCGTTGCCTTAATTTTGATACTTTTCTGCCCCTGTTTCTTCTGTTGATTAAACCATTGCTTGACCTTTCTAAATAATCAATGCTGAATTGGTATTGAAGTGCTGGTATGCATAAAAATGGTCTAAAATGACTTTTTTTGTTTGTTGCTTAAAAACAGCTGGTCAGTTTACCTTATTTGTATCTCCTGATGTGTCCAGGACAAGTGTTACCTATGATGCTCAGATGTATTACAGATATTTTATTAAAGCAAAAAAAACCTTTATTATGAAATACAATTTTGTCAGTGGGAACAGAAAAAAAAATATGAATCTTAGTAAAGTGGCAATGCCATAATCTCAGGGTGCCTATAAGCAGCAACCTTGTCTTTTAGAATATTGCCACTGCATGCCAGTTTGAATACTGCTGTTAGTAGACTTGCATGTAGTATGTATCCTACTCCTTATTTGTGTAGTGGTTGACAATCAGCACAGTACAATCAAACAATTATGCAGTGGAAATGACGATTTGTGATTGACATGTTAGTCATGATTGCATGTTTTCAAGCTGCCTTTTCACAGAATAGTGAAGTTATAAAAGCAGCACTTTAAATCTGCCGTGGCCAAAGCTGCGGACGTGGCACAAATTTTGTTTCCTGTAATTTGCCGCTTGACTTTTTTTATTTAGCTTTTTTTTTACATGTTTCTGTGATCTAATGAAGAACAATTTGGGGCGTTTCATAATTTTCAAAGACTTTTATTGGCAAATAAATCAGATTTATGTAAACAGTGCCTGTTTGCAGTGTTGACCCTTCGTCGTAACAGCTCCCTCTGGCATGCTGAATATCAGTTTCTGAGTTCATGAGTATGCTTCTGATCACTCTGTGAAACAGTATACAATCACTGTGAACTGCCAAAATTGAAGCAGTAAATTGTATGAAGAAAAAAAATTGCGCCACTGCCAACAACAAAAAACCACATGATGCCTAACAACAGGTTCAAAGGGAACAATACAGAGATATTTCCCACTGACTATTGTTGTGTGGAAAGATGTAACAGGAGTAGTAGTGTGGCCTTGTTATTTAGACAGAGCATCATTACAGCAGAGCTATAAGTGTAACTCACTCGGTAATGAGTGTGGGTGTAGAAGTATACAACGTGAGGTATAGCGACGTTTATTTACCACTAATTACCAGCAGTAAATCAGTCACAGAGTTCTTCCTGAACATGGTGAAATGCTTGGAAGTATAGTCGCAAAATGTCTGTACAACACTACCATGAGTTCCCAGAACCTCAAACTTCACAAGCTATGGAAAGCTGACTGGTAACCACACTCCCCCCCCCCATATATTGCTAATATGCTAACCACATAATAATAATAATAATGGATTGGATTCATATAGCGCTTTTCAAGGCACCCAAAGTGCTTTACAATGCCACTATTCATTCACACACTGGTGGAGGCAAGCTACGGTTGTAGCCACAGCTGCCCTGGGGCAGACTGACAGAAGCGAGGCTGCCATATCGCGCCATCGGCCCCTCTGGCCAACACCAGTAGGCGGTAGGGTAAAGTGTCTTGCCCAAGGACACAACGACCAGGACAGAGAGCCCGGGGATCGAACCGGCGACCTTCTGGTTACATAGTGCACATTGGATTCAAATTCATACCTTCGGTGACTACCTCCCTACTACTTGTCAAAGTGACGTCACCGAACATAATGCAACACCATTGGTTATTTCTCAAGTTAGCACGACGGTTCAGTGGTTTGCACTATTGCCTCACAACAAGAGGGTCCTGGGTTTTCCACAGGACCTCTAGTTTCTACACTGGGACACTCTCTTGCAACATAAAGCTCAAAACCTAAAGTGTTTCACATACTTAAAGTAAAATAAAGGTTAAAAAAACAGATTGGTCTAAATGAATTAACATTGTAGAGAAGCAGATATTGCTTTACAATATATTACAGCTTATCGTCATTGTGGTTTTACTATTGACGTTTATATATGCACTTGTTATGACCTAACTGAACAATGTGAATTTATTGTACTGTTGAACTTCTTGTTTCTGACGTAACATCAAACCAGAGACCGAAGTTGGGTTTATTTTTTTGTTTGGTTTTTTTGGGGGGGGGTTTTGTTTGTTTTTCTTCCTTTGTCAGATGTACACATTATTATCTTTAATTTGTATCTATTCCTGTAATATATTATACTGCAGCTACATCATGGCTAAAGCACATTTGCAATCGTTTCAGGTTCCACTCAGTTCTTGCCTTTAATTATTCGACCAAGGTTTACAGAATATTGCAGTGGTCCAGAAAATTTTTTGTTTATTTATTTTTTTGTTGCAAATTACATATTTTATTAATTAGGTGTTGGTTGAGCTTGCGCATTTGTAACTACTGGCTGGTGTATGTACTCTGTTGTATGGGGGTTTTATTATGTGTTACAGTTATTTTATACTCTTTACTGTGAGGATGCGTTTAGAGAGAATCAGTTTCAATATAAAGCGACAACAGCTTCTAGCATTAAGGAAATTATTTTTTTATGATTTGATGCATTTAAAAATGAAAACTATTTTTAGTGACATGGATTTAATTACATGAATGTCACTCAATGTGCTTCGTTTGTCTGCTTCGTTAAACTAACGGTGCTAAGGGAACTATTTTGGCTAATTAGTTTGTCACAACTACATTTTTTTGGAAATTTGATTGAAACTGTAATGTAAGTTAAATAAAAATATATTGACCCAGTTCACCGTCCATGTGATATAACAATATATATGGGTAGTTCTGTTATTTTCATATTCATTATTTGTCACTGGTTGTATAAATATGTACAAAGGTGGTCTCAGCTCCAAAGTTTATACAGTGTTGGAAAGACTGCACAACATAATTTGAAAGTATGTTTTTGAAATGCTTTGTTGGGTTTAGGTTGGAAAATAAAATGATTAAAATATTTTAAGAGTCCTGTTGTTTGTCTTTTAGTGGACTGTATTTAAGGAACAAACCACAAAAGCAACTCAATCACCAAACATCTCCCCAAGTCTACACCCTTTCCTAAAAATTGTCACCTCTGGCTTAAACATTAAAACCGCTTTAAAATTATAGTACTCAATAGGTCGTCCTGTGAAGGTATTTCGGGTGATGCTGTATAAATGATTGTTGATATCATACTGTGTATTTTCTAGGCCAGGCTTCATCCTGAGTTTACAGCTGTGTGTAAATTTTTCATGTTGAAGTATGTGAGCATCTACAGACAAAGACGGAACAGATGAAAAATGTAAAAGTTCCTGAATTATTTCCATAAAAGTCTCCAAACAGAGCCAGTTCTTGTAATAATTCAAGCTGTCACATTCAGCTCCACTGTTACAAACCGTCACTAATGCTTACATGTAAAATGCCCAAGAATGGTCCGTATAACAGGACATTCATACCAAAACATACGAGACAACATAAGAATATTTTATTAGATTCGCATTGGAGAAAGAAACCTACTCGTTGAATTGTTTGTTTGGTTTAAACATAATATCAAAATAAGTAAACACATTTATCAAAGACTCAGGCTGAGTGACAAAAATCTTTGTTGTGTTAAAAACAATATGTTGCAATAGTAACATTTTACAGTATATTTAGGCTAAAACAGTGACCAAAATTTGTGGCACTGAAAACCTCTAAAATTGAAAGATTAGTTTAGAGTCAGTTTATTTCTAATTTTACTTTTTACATTACCAAACAGTGCTATACTAGAAGCTTCTCAAACACAAGCACCATGTGTACATGACGTCTCTTCTGTTTTACACATTAGAAGAGTTTATGTGAAAAGAGCAGGAATGTCCACAGAGGCTTGGTGTTTATCTGTTGTACGATCTTTCTTCCTCCTGCTCCTGCTGCTCCACAGACTTCCTGCTGAATCGAACCCATTAATATTTTACTTCGACCACCACTCAGGACCAGAAAGTTATTTTGTTTTATCACAGAAAGAAGACACTTTGGGGAATGATCTGAAAGCAATGGCCATGTTCCACTCACCAAAACGATATAAATAATCATAGCAATACACTCAGACTCTGGCTCAATTTTAAAGCAAGTACTGTAAGCTGTCCATGACACAAAATTAAAAGATGATCACAGCTATTCATCTCCTTGAGAGCAGTCATGTGGTTACCCCCAGACCACTATGAAATTGAGCTGTTATAGAAATACAACCTTAGGCAGAAATTTAGGGACAAAGGATACTAGATCCTCTTTTTCAGGGAAAAATAAAGTTAACCTTTTCAAGACAGCATTGTAAATATACCTATAATATCTCATAATATAATATACACTCACACCAATTCATCTTGTGGTAATTATATTTGTAAAACAATACATTTTCAATTAATTCATTTTGTTAGCTGCACCATAACACAGTTTATGATCTTGTATTTCAGTGCAGCAGTCGTATTATGTTGTCTTCTAATGCATGACTGTCGAGAAATGGCCAAAAAAAAGAAAATCGCCCAATAAATTTCTTTAATCTTTTCTAAACTTTTACTTGAACTTCAAAGAAAAAAACCTGAAGTGAAGGAAAGACATTAAGAAGAATTCATAATGATTACTGGTGCGCTCAGAGAGTCTGACTGCACTTAACACTGGCCTCCTTAATATTGTTCTTGAATTAGGTTTCAAACAGCAATGTCCCGAAAATGTGGTAAGCTCATCTTAATTGCTTCAGTTCAGTAAAAGAGAACAACTGGTGAACAATATTACTTCAGCTGCAAGATTAAATTCCAGAGGGAATAAATTGCCTATAAAAGGAAATAAAATGCTTGTCACATTGAAATTAGTTGCGTATCCTTGGCCACTCATGCTTTCTCTTCATAGACAGATGAGCAAGTGTAACTAATGCCTTTATTAAGGCTTTCTGTGACAGAAGAAAAATTAATTAAGATCATCCTAAGGCAGCAGCACCTAAATTGAGGATATAATTAATGCAAACTGAATTATGGTAAACCTTAAATTGACTCTGATCAGTTTTATGTAGCTCATAATCATTCTTTAGATTAGCTACGCAAGAAGCAGTTTTTATAACAGTAGCAAAATGTTCAAAGTTCACCTGTGGTTTAACAGCCTGCCGCTAAAGGTTCAAAATATATCAGCAGGATATGGCAGAAAATATCTCTTATCTGACTGACTGTTTTCGCGAACGAGTGTTACTTTGAACTCTGGGACGGCGTTATCGGCTTTCCTTTTATAAAGGATGGTCCGGTGTATAATAAAGGAAGCACTGAAGCACCTTTCCTAGGGATTTAAAGAATTCAAACAGCTCTTGTTATGACTGCCACACAGATACTCCACAGAATCCCTTCACTCTGTTAGGAACCTTGCTAAAACCATAGGACTACAGCCTGTGTTTATCCAGACAGGGGGCCTGTCCACAACTACAACCATTGTTGTATTTGCTTAAGATAGAATTTCATAATTTCCCAAGCACCCACTGCCTGAGAGTGGTTACTTGATATAGTGAGATAGTTGAGATAGTCACATATTTCTTCCGGCAAGCTTCCAGCCGAGTAGTTTGTCCTTGACAATTAGTCATGAACCATCTTGCCTCATCTGCAGGCAAATTTAGGAGGGCAAACCTCTCTTGGTGTGGGAGTCATCTTGTGAGCTTATGGTTTTACATCATGAGAGAAAAAGTATGTGTATCTCCCTCTCAGTCTGGCTTTCTGTCTCCCCCTTGACTTTCACCTCTCCTCTTCAGCTGTTTACACCAAAACAAGCAGACAGCTGTACAGACAGCAGAGTGATTGGTCTGTCAGGCACACGGCATGTCTTATATGACCATAAGTGAAAGGGTTACAGAAGCAAACAGTATATGCTTTAAATCAGACTCTTCGCTGGTTTTAAAGTTTGTTTATAGTTCCTCTGAGGATGTAGGCTGTCTGCATGTCTGCTGCTTCTGTCTCTTTGTGGAATCCAAATCTCAGCGATGTTCAGGACTCAGTGGGGGTCACACCATCTGTTGCAGCATTCAGTCACGTTAGTTGTCGCTGAAGATGGTTCTTTACAACAATGACATTTGCTTACGAGCAACAGATAATTACTGGCACTGGGGTGAATTCAACCTGAAAAGTGTTTGTTTGTCAGGGCAGTTTACCATTAACACTTCAGATATTTTATGTGCACCCTCCTGAGAGGTTTATACTCTTTTATTTTTTTTATTTCATTTTAGAGTCATTTTAAGAACAAAAATTTCTGTATATTTGAAAAAAGCAAATATGCATAAAAATTAAACGAACTATACTCATAAACCGCCTGATGACATTACAGAACAAGTTTCAGCCAGCAGCTGTCAGTTGACCTTTTACCTGTTATCAGACAGAAAATATATATAAGATATGTAGAGTCATGTGACAAAGCAGTACCCTCAGATAACCTTCACCAAAT